CACTATAATTCGTTTCAGCTAAAGTCCAGACGCAGCCGATGATACAAGCGCAAGCATGCGGCCCTGAGCAGTGCTTGCAGTGCACGATCGCGCGTGTTTGACAGGGACGCTGAAAGCCCGGAGCTCGCGCTTGGAGCATCGGCTTCGTCTGTAGTTATGCTGAAACAAAGTATAACATATAGTGCGATGATGTCACGTGCAAACCGCGTTAAACAGTTCAGTTTTCTCGTGAAATATGAAGTTCTCAACACAATATTTCGTTTCACTTTAAAGGGATACTACAACGAAAGTTTGGCGCTCATTTTTTGGTCTACATGTGTTCAAAAGAGCAGTATCACATGGAACATACCAATATCTTGTTAAAAAAGTCTCGAAGAGGAATTTTAAAACGAATTAAACAATTAGCAAAGAGCACCTGGTGGATGTCGCTAACGCCTTGTTTGTAATGCTCATCTAGGAACCTTGACAGCTAGTGACGGAGGTTGTCTCGTCTCCGGCCACGACGAGAGAAGGGGGGAAGGAGGAACTCTTTTCTTCCCGAGAATCCCTTTTGTGTGTCGCAGAAGTCGCTATTGTCCCCCTAGAGGATTATAGAAGATTAACCCGTCACTCAAAATTCGTACAAAAGCAGCCGCTTCGGTGGCTGGAACGACTAGGCCATCCTCTCGACGTCAGCCTCGCCGTAGCTTTGCTCGTCTTGAGACGACCTATACGTCACGATCGCGTTGGATGTCACGTGCTCTAAGCTGGGTCTTCTCCGAGCGCTTGCCAGAGTGGGCCGTTTATAACGAAAAATACAGCCACCAGGCTCAAAATACAAACGTGCGATTGTCATTTACGGATATTGTGGATCATATTCAACCTATTTTTGAACACGACGGGAATATTTCAAATTTCGTTGAAGTATCCCTTTAAGTCTGAGCCTAGCAGAAGCTGAAAGAGCGAGCTCCGGGCTTTCAGCGTCCAAGTACGCGCGCTTCTGCAGTGCAAGTGGTCAGGACCCCATCCTCGCGCGTGTAGCATCGGCTGCATCTGGACTTGAAGGGGCAATTGATTTGCATCTCTTTTGTTCAATTCGCTGTTTTTGTAAATTGCTAATTTGCAATTTGCAAAACCAGCAATTTGCATTGCTTTTGTTCGAACTAGTGACTGGGACTCTAGCAACACATTAAGCACGAAATAAACAATAAATCTGGTGTATTTTGAACATAACAGGTAAAAGAGGATCAGAATTTTAAGCACATTTTCATTTGTTAATGACGTCCTTAGTATGAAGTTGAACCATTATAAAATCGAAACTACAAAAGCCCGCTGCAACCGCTGAAACGTCCGGCCACTAAATGTTTGGGACTTGGTTTGTGAAGGTCTATATTTCTCAAATTTTTGACCCAACAAAACGCAGTTTCGTCAAACGTGTCTACGTCAAACACATGCATCTCTATATATTTCTTTTTGTAGTATACTGGAAAAAGAAATATATAGAGATGCAGTCGTCGTGTATATTATTATTTAGAAAACTATCATTTATTATCTTTCTTTCTGCACATTTCGTGTGTTTGCCTACAGATCTATAACGTGAGCACACAGCTACTTTAGGCATACCCCGCGACCCGGTGTTTCACACTGCCAAACAGCGAACAAGAAAGCATGTTCCGCAGACTCAACAGATGGCGTATTTCCGAGTATCGTCCTCCCGTGTCGATATCAAGCGGTTGTGGGGACTTCATACAGTCGTATTTATTGATGACAATAACGAACATTTTATTACTGCCTGCAGACTTGACAACATAAATAACGGGCCGATCAACCTAAAAATATACATCATAAGTAATTACGCCCCCAAAATATCTTAAATGTGCTCTGCAAATCTTTTCCGGCTTTATCCTCAGAGGCGCGTGTATAAATGATTTGGGAGAAACTTAAACAATTTTTGTAGATTTTTTTTAAAGGGGTCACGAAACAATTTTTCAACTTTTTCCTTTTTGATTAGCCCGTCGCTCAAGACTCAGACAAAAGTTACTCTCCCCACCCCGTTCACCCATAAGCTGACAGTGTTGTGGAAGCCACGTTCTCCTTGGGCAAGCCACACTTTGCCACGTGATTACGCTCCCTCGAGCGTAGAGAATGAGGTCAGGTGACGAAAGGGAGGCGGCTGATTGGTCCGGCAAGCGCATAGCTTTCACTGAACAGTCAGCTTAGGGGTGAAGGGAATTCATGAGGTCCCGGTGTTGTGTGACGTGCGTTTCGGCCCGGTGACGCGCTTTGGGTACCGCGGATGCATCACAGTAAAAAGGCAGAGAGCTTTCGAAGGGGAGAAGGTACGAAATAGTCGCTGTGTTTTCGAATTTTTGTACCGAAAATGAGCCCTTTGACTTTTTACGTTCTTTCTTTTGGCCCACTAAACGATGTGTTGTTAGTAAAATCCCAACCTAAATTCAATTATCCCAGCCCAAAATTGTTTCATGGGCCCTTTAAGCTAATTTAAAGAAATTGTGTTCCTCACGCATATTCAACTTCTCAAATATATAAAAGTATCTTGCTTCTTTTATTTGATAAACAACAATTTTATGGGGTCTGTGGGCTAGATAAAAACAAAGTCCACAGAGGGGCGTGGTGGAACTGTGACGATTGCGCACGCAGAGCGTCAGAAAGTGACCAATTAAGTAGTTGTAATGTCGAGTAGACTATGAAATACTACTTTATTCCATTTAACGAAAAGAAATAGCGAAGGTGGTGCTTATTTGCAAATTGAATTGACCGGCATCTTGTCAAGAACAAACTTCAAACGCAAAGCTGTGTCGAATATATTCACTTCCGTACGTGCTATTTTAGGCCATATCTGATCCGGATACGAAGGTCACTCTTTTCTGCATGATTCTTCGCCTGCATCACGGTGCTGAGTGTAAACAATATTTGTCAGGAAAGCAAGCGTTGTGCTTGCCGCTCAAAGTTTCTATAAAAGGTAGACTGAAAGAGGTTGTCCTAAAACGTTCCTGAGATTTTGAAACTATTTTTGCTTTTAGCTCGGTTGCGTCGTCATCATATACGGTATATTCTGAAACGTATTTTATAAACTATAGATTTCGGGATAAATATGGCGCGCCCATTTTATGATTTGATACACTGTAATTAATTTCTAAGCGCAGGGCAACTGCAAGATTCGACTTTTAATACTGCGACGCAAAGTTGTACGATTCACCCGTATTTCAGGCGACCCACCTGACTGATAACCTTTAGATTCAGGTAAAATATATGCAACTAGGGTAAAAAAAAATAGATATTGAGTCATATATATTAATCTAGCTTTTCATTAAGTGTTTAATCGAAATTATATGATGCAAGTCATTTTTGATACCTGAAAATAAAAGTGGATTCTAGGAAAGATAAAAAAGCTGCATAGTTACTCGTTTCACACTTGAAATAGTGCCTATTGCCAAAGGAACGCGGAAAATATATTTTCAGTTTAGCGGTTCAAACCGGTTCGAACCGGTTTGAACCGCTAAACCGTTCGAACCGTTATTTTTTGCTGCCCGGAACTGAACCGGAGCTGAACCGAAAGCCGTGAACCCGAACCGGAACGGAACCGATAAAAATTTCGGTTCGACACTCTGCGGACGAGGGAGGTGGAAGCCGGTCCGAAGGCAGTGGTGGCCCTGCCGTTGACTCTCAGATGCGTTGTCCGCTCGCGTCGGCTGCGATTCGGGTGCTTCTTGCTCCGCGAGTAAGTGTCGCAGGCGACATGCGTTACTTAAAATACTTTTGAATGTTGATCTATGTTAATTTTGGACGTGTGGTTCACGTAACACGAGCGTAAAACTGCTTTTTGTCGTCATCGTCCTCGGGAACGGCGAAGAGGGAGGCTTTCTTCCCTTCTTTCTCGCAGAAAAGTATCCCCTGCTGCATCCTGGAACAAAGCAGTGTGCTTGCCGTTTTGCCATCACGGTAGTGTGGGCGCATGGGGCAATCTTTCCGGAAAGAGCACTACAAACGGGTCCTACTAGCGACATGAACGAGCTTTTTCATGGCGCGGCGTCTGCAATTGGCATCTCAGAGTCGATGAGCGTACCGCCTATCGTCGTCATGATACACTTGCGCGCCGCCGCACGCGGAGCAAGCCGTGGGATTCTGACACCTCCCCTTTTAGCCACCGTAGCCGGGCGAGCAAAATCTAACTCGCCTAGATCGGCGGCAAACAGCCCGTGGCCCGAGCTTGCCCCAAGCCCCCGACATGCATGCGCAGCTGCAAAGCATGCTAGTCGTTTATTTCGGAAAAATACTGCGCCATCTAGAAGGAAAAGGCTACAAATAAATCGAGGGCGAATCCCCATTAAAGCGTCTGAGCAGCACCCAAAATGCAAGGCAACGAAAAGAAAAAAATTAAACGACGTAGAATTGTGGCTTTTTGAACTCGAGCGCATTTTGTGAGTTGCCTACCCCAAAATGAACCTTTTTCTACGAACAACGAGCGACGTCTGGGAGCTGTTTGAAAACTACAAATGAGAAGGAGCCAAGGTGCCTCCACCCGTTAGAACACAGGGATGCTGCCGTTGTATCGGTTTTTAAGTTTTTTCTATGCCCTAGTCTAACGATATACGCGAAAAGTATCGCCAAACAAGATACAGTACGCGAAAACGTGGTGCCAATATCTGGTCGTGCGAGACAGTGCCCTCTGAAAATGACGACAGAGGAAAGCGAGACCAGGGAGAGGTGGCACGCATGCCCAGAAGCTTACTGAAAAAAAAATAAATAAATAAATAAATGTCCATTATGTGGTTACAAAAGACAATCCGTGTAAATATCACAAACCGATCACAGTTTTAATGACGCATGTACCGATATGAGTGCCCTCGTGCGGTGTGGATTTTGAGTGCCTATATGCAATGGACGGATGTCCACACTCTAGACATCCGCTAATTGAGTTGGGTTATACAGCTATAGCAAGTTAATATTTCACAACACCATTTGCACCATTTCACTTTTGTGCCCTTTAGCTGGTGTACCTTTTTACTTCCGAAGTTCTCCACTGTGTCCAACCATCCTTTGACGGTTCCGGGGACTGTAGCCGAAAGACCGCTGCTGTCATCAGGAAGGCGTTTCTCGTCGAATCCCCTTGAGCGGAGCAGCTCCAAAGTCAGATTCTGGACTCTTTCCGCTGGCCAACCAATATTAAACATATAAAAGTTTAGGCATGCATATGGGCGACTATATTTCATACCGTTGAAAAAAAAAATAACTTAAAAAATTTTAAACATATGGTGGACCAATTCTTTACTAGGACGAAACTGAAAACTGTTCTTGTGACGATTTTTTGTTCTATACAGAATTCGACTCCGAAAGGACCGAATACGTATTTTAATATCGGGACGCTCGTCACAGCTAAGAGGGGCTGGCACCAAGATTTTTAAAAATAATTTTCATTATACTTTTTTTTTGTTTTGTTTTTATTGCAATATTAAAACAGTTTTGTACACATTTCACGGCCGCGCGCCATGGGATCGGAGCCTTAGGCGCGTGATCAGTCAGATCACTTTTGGTCTAAATTCAGTTTGATTTGCGGCAAGAGCAATTCTAAAGAACCTACACCCAGGCCTTCACACCTGTAAATGTATACGCACGCGTATGACGGTGCAAAATATAGTATACAATAGGCGTGTGCGAACAATGAATTTTTGGTTCGAAAAGAATTCAAAATGAGTAGTGGTTTTTGGTCGAATATTTCTTAATCAAATGTCGAATAGTTTCTGCAACTTTTCACTACAACAAAAACCCAGTTGAACTCGTGAAGGTTGTTTCTAGGCATCTACTTGCCCGCCTCTATGCATAGACGTTTTTAATTTAACCATATTTATTTGACAGCATCTTCAGAGTCCAATGCCTATATTAGAGTGCCAGGTAAAAGACGGATTTTACATAAAACTAAACGTATAGATGCCCAGCTACACTTATTCGAGAGGGTTTATAAATAGCCTCGCTATATGTAACACTCTAAGATAAAAAGGTATATTCTTACACCCCTTGTCCCATATAATGATATAATACACCCCAAAACTACAATAAAACTTTGGTTGGGGCTAGTTGGTTCATATCGATTAAAAGGTTAAAAGGCGCGAACAAACAGGTCGAAGAAAGAGACACGTACGACACGGACAGGCGCCTGTCCGTGTCGTACTTGTCTCTTTTTTCGTCCTGTTTGTTCGCGCCTTGTAACCTTTTAATCTAAAACTAGAGCAGGGGCTCCGGAAGCGGGGGGGCAGGGTGGGCTTGAGCCCCTCCTGTCCTCAGGACCGAGCTGCCGAGCCCCCACTCCCCCTCCCTCTTTTTTTGTTTTTGTTTGTGTGTTTGCAGGTTATCTGGTATGGTCCTTCGGCCTATCTGCTGTACATCCGTCTCTCCTGAGCCGAAATAAATGAAATGACCCTTTATGCATGCTGACCTACCGCCCTCCTCACCTCCGCCAAGCACAAAAACCACCTGGGCGACGGAGAGGCTTGCTTGAAATGTCAAAACCAGAAGAAAATGACAGGCAGGACTCATGAGCCTGATTGACAACCAGTTTAGAGCGAACAAAGAGGGGACAGCGAAATGAATGGATTCCGACAAGACGACGTCGGCGAGCGTTTGTCTGCTTCCCCCGTGTGGGAGCAAGAAGCCCAGAAGATGCATGGTGCTTCTCTGGCCCGCGGACAAAACAGGCAGGCGGTACTACCGCGGCGCTTAAAGGCCATCATTAGGAGAGGGAGGGGGGGCTGGTGAGCTTGAGCGGGGATTCGGGAGTGCTTAGAAAAGGCGAGTCTACGAGCTCCCGAATTTGTCAAGGCGCCTTCGATGGCGAAAGGTTTGCGAGCACGCGGCGTCGTGCCCGCAGGGTGGTGAGGTATTAGGCGACACATGTTTACAAACTCAGGGAGGATCGGTGGCCGAGTCATTCCATTTTCGAACGCGCGAGCGCACGGAGGTGAAATCATGAGCTCCGAAGGAGCGGCGATAACGGCCCTCGCCGGCCGCGGTGATACTGTTTTTCCCGGCTCAAGTGAGTACAGGTTTTTGTTGCCCCAGCTTCCATCAGGTGATTCAATGAAGAAAGCGGTCGTCCTTCACTGCGACATGGCCGGGAGGCCATACAGGATTGAGGATTTCCGGCAACCGCTCGACGAACTGGGGGTCCTCAGGGAGGTAGCCGGAATTGGGGCGTACCAGATGTCCCATGTCTGGCTGCTTGACCTGAGGACCGACGCGGCCAAGCTCAAGCTGGTGAACGCAGGGCGGCTCGCTGTCAAAGGACGCACCTGCATCGTCGTGGACCCCTCCAGGCAAGAGGTGCGCATCAAGCTGCACTGGGTGGCGTTCGACGTGTCGAACGACACCATTCGCAAGGCTTTCTCGGAGTACGGCGAGGTGAAGGACGTCGCGTCCGATCGCTGGAAGGTGCCGGGCTTCGAGGGAGCCGAGTCTACCACCCGGATAGTGCGGCTGGTACTCCGGGAGGGTGTCAACCTTGACCGCCTCCCCCATCAGCTGCGCTTAGGAGGCGGCTTGGTATTGGTCGTCGTGCCTGGGAGGGCCCCAGTATGCCTCCGGTGCCGTAGGACGGGGCATATACGTCGAGACTGCCGGGCTCCCAGGTGCTCCGAGTGCCGCGCCTATGGCCACGAGCGTGACGACTGTGTCCGCTCCTACGCCCGAGCCGTGGGACGAGGAGTCAACGAAGACCACGTCGACGACATGATGGACGAGGAAGAGGCGGAGAGAGCGGCCGCGCCCGTGAAAACCCAGGTCGAACAAGCCAAGAGCGACGACGCTTCCGGCACCTCCCCCGAAGTGAACAACACCATGCTGCCGGACAAGCCGTCGACTACGGCTCATGCAGATCCACCTGCAGTCGAGCGCTCGACGGTACCTCCAACAGGGAGCGCCGGCGGGGCAGCTGGTGCTTCGCCATTGCCAGACGAGGTCTCCATCACGCCAGAGATGGACGTCGAGCTGGGCTCTGCGAAGCGTAGGCTCGAAGACGTCACGGACACGACTGGTCAGGAACTTCGGCTGCGTCAGCTCGAGCGCAGGTGGAGAATGGTGTCGGGCGGGAGCGGAGTGGATGGCCCCCAGCGGTCCGGCGCAGACCGAGGAGGACCACGCGACAAACTGTCGCAGTGAACGGCAGTGTAGGCGGGTTGGTCCTCACTAACCCATGGTCTCCTTACAAAGTCCTGTCCGAGTAGCGACCCTTAATGTCCGAGGTCTCTCAGATCGCAGAAGGCAGAGGCAACTCTGCCGTCTAGCAGTCGAGCAGGACCTCGACATCATCGCTGTGCAGGAGACCAAGGTCGAGAGTGAGGACCAGACCAACTTCATGGTTAGACCTTTTTCGGCGCGTTACGAAGTGTGTGTTAGTCACGCGGTTGGGTCGTCAGCGGGCTGTTTGTTGTTAGTGCGCCAGAGTTTGGGTGCAACAGTCGAGGCGGTGACGACATGTGATTCAGGGCGCTTTGTTGTATGTGATTTTTCTCTTTCATCGTATGATTGGAGGGTCATTTGTGTGTACCCCTCCAATAGGGTTGATGAGCGGCGGGAGCTTTTTGATTTCATGCATCAGTATTGCAAAAGTGATCGCCTTATTATTTTTCTTGGCGATTTCAATTGCGTCTGCTCTGCTGGGGACAAGTCCAGCTCAACGCCCTATCGCGATTTAAGCACCGAGAGCCTTCTGAGGTTAATCAACGAGTCCGGCTTTGATGACGTCGGGGAATGTTTGAGGAATGGCCGCGAAATCCAGTACACCCATTTCCAAGGGTCGAGTCACGCCCGTCTAGATCAAGCGTACGTTTCTTTAGATTTGATACCATTATGTTTTGAATATCGCGTGCACCCTGTTTCCTTTAGTGATCACTGTCTAGTTTCCTTTTGTATGCGTAGTAAATCCAAAGCCAGGAAAGTCTTCAGCTGGGAATTATGGAAATTGAACGCGAAACTGTTGGAGGATGACGTTTTCACTGCCGAAGTGCAGGCCGCAGTTGAAACACTGGAGAGCCAGAAAAAATTAGGGTATGGTGTGAGATGGGAGCTTTTTAAGCAGGAAATAAAAATGAAAGCGTTAGAGCGGGCAGGCGTACTTAAAAGCACTGAAAGGAGCAACGAAATGTTATTGCGTAATAATTTGCGGATACTGCTAAAGGAAGAGACTAAAATGCCTGGGGCATACAAAGATGATATTTCTTGTGTGAAAGATAAACTCGAGATTCTAGATCGGGAACGATATTGTGGGGCGATTGTTAGAGCCAGAGCCGAAAGATGGTCAACAGGCGAAGCGCCAACTAAGCGTGCGCTGAGCCTCGAGAAAAGATATGCTCGGCGTAACGAGATAACGCGGGTAGAGAGGAACGGATCACTTACGACCGATAAGGAAGAAATCGAACTCGCATTTTTCGAGTATTACAGTAGATTATTTGCGTCCTGTCCAGTAGATGTCCAGCTTTTTAAAGATGAATTTTTGGGTTTCATGCCGCGCATAGATGACGAAACGAAAGAATTACTAGAATCGACCATCAGCGTAGAGGAAGTGGTCTTTGCAATAGAAGCCCTAAACCCGGGAAAGTCCCCTGGCCCAGACGACCTAAGTGCAGTTTTTTATAAGACTCAGAAGCACGAGATTGCCGCAGTCCTAGCCAAGGTATTCAATGAAGCATATGATTTGAATATGTTGCCTCCATCTTTTATGTCATCGCACACAGTGTTAATTCCCGAAACAGATGACGCAGTTAAGTTGCAGCACGTCACAGCGTATCGGCCGATCAGTCTGACTAATGTCGACTACAAAATTTTAATGAAGATCTTAGCAAGGAGATTGCAATATGTAATATCGGAAATAGTGGGGCCCCATCAAACTTGCGGCATTAAAGGAAGGACTATTTGCACCAACATCCACAAAGCACGCAGTGTTCTGGAGTGTTGCGACGCAATGCGTACTTGCGTTGCGATGCTCCAGGTAGATTTGGAAAAGGCTTTTGATCGCGTGCCTCACGACCTGCTTTTAACCATTCTCGATCATGTAAACGTCGGCGCTGTTATCCGTGAAGGTGTCAGCATGGCGTACAACGGTTGCTCGACGAGACTTATGGTGAACAAGTCGGTTGGAAAACGTATAAAAGTGAATCGATC